TAAAGGAATGTAACCTGAGTGCAATAGAAAGAGGTAAAGGAATGTAATTCAGTGTGACAACCACAGAGAGCTGTGATTCTGTAATTCTACCAAAGACCAAACAACAACAAGGTGATGACTTCCTCACAGCATGTAACCAAGTGATGAAGAGCTTCATGTTCTTCATCACTTCACAGGATGTAAATGTTCTCACAAAGGGACAGAGAGGGGTGGAAGAGCAATGAGGAAGAGGAAGGAGAGGACTGCTTTTGATTATTATTGAAGATCATTTATTTAAATGACTATATTTATCATGTATTCTCTGATTTTCTTGTCCTACTGTGTTTTTATTGCAGTTCCATTACAAAGCACATTGATTACTAGTGCAACATGTAAAACATAGTTCTGTGTCGGGTATTGGCTCCTGGTCTTTAGACAGTCTTTAGAACAACTTTAGAAGGTCTTCAGAATGTCTTTAGAACAACTTTGGAAGGTCTACAGAAGGTCTTTAGAACAATTTAGAAGGTCTTTAGAACAACTTTGGAAGGTCTTGAGAAGGTCGTTAGAACAACTTTAGAAGGTCTTTAGAACAACTTTTAAAGGTCTTTAGAATGTCTTTAGAACTTTAGAACGACTTTAGAAGGTCTTTAGAGTGTCTACAGAAGGTCTTTAGAACGACTTTAGAAGGTCTTTAGAATGTCTACAGAAGGTCTTTAGAACGACTTTAGAAAGTCTTTAGAACACATTTAGAAACTAAAACAGTGCACAGCCAAAGGGTTGTAGGAGGAAAAAGATCCCTGTAGACATGCTGAACTACTGCTGAACTCACAGGAACCTTTGCGTTTAACAAAATGTTTTGATTTCTTTTAAATGAACAAATCGATCCCAAACGTTGAGAGAAAAGACGAGAACATGACAGAAAGAGAGAGAAAGAGAGAGAAAGGAGAGAAAGGAGGCTCATTGGGAGTTCTAGTCACTGATCTGAAGTCTGTTCAGTATTCTGTCCTCAGCATTCTCACAGCACTAATGAGCAGCAGCCAACCACACACACACACACACACACACACACACTTGTTTCTCACTTCCCCATGAAAGAAGTTGTCCCACTTTATTGCATCAGCACTGATCAGATGTGTCAAGCGCCGCTCTTCTTTTAAATTCATCCCAAGCACTCCGGCTCTCCTCCTCCTACTCCTCCTCCTCCTCCTCCTCACTGAGGTTCATGTGGAGGAACATCAAGAAGATGAAGATCAGAACAAACCTTTAACGATGAGGTCGGCGTAGTTGGACACCCCCGACCCTCCGTCCGACCGGATGACGCAGCGGTACCGGCTGGTGCTGCGCTGAGCCGTGTCGCCGACGCTGACGGTCGCAGAGAAACGTCGGTGGTTCACCACCCGGGTCACCATCAGCGCCGTGTCTCTGCCGTTCCACTGCTGCATGATAGGGAAAAAAGACCAGACCGTCATGCATTAGTTATTTTCAGAGCTGCAGGTGCTTGAGGAACGTTCACAAAGACTTTAATGTTGGTCCACGGTGATCTTATCATTAGAGAGAAAAGACTCCAGTGAGCTCAGCCAATCAGGGCTCAGAGTTTCTAAAGGATTTCAGGTTTTCATCAGTTCACACTTTTAAAATCACATCACAGTCATGAGCCCACATCTCCACATCCAATCTTCTTCTTCTTCTTCTTCTTCTTCTTCTTCTGTGGTATTTTCTGCCAATTTGAAGGAACATGTTTCCCCCAACAGACCAGCAGACAGCAGGGTCACCGGTCTCATTACTGAACACTGCAGCTCTCGGTGCTCGGAGAACATGCTGCCAGAGCACATGTAAACTAGATTGAGTGTTTATGCCTGGATGCACGCACGCACACACACACACACACACACACACACACTTGTACAGATATGGAGTCATCGGTCCAGATCAGAACAGGGACTTTTAATCAGTTCTGAAATAGAGCGGGGAAGCTGGGGATGTTCAACACAGTGTGCTTTCATTTTTTAAAATCTTTTTATGATTATTACTACTTCCCTTTACAAAGAAGAGTTATTCCAGTCAGCTTTATATTCTTCATATTTTCAGAGTTATTGTCAGTAATGACAGTATTTTAGAGTATGTGGACATGTATTTGTTAAAGTTCTGCGTGTACTGATAAGAAGAACTGACCTGCAGCCAGAGTTTATCATGCTGAGACCATTTCCCTCCGGCGGTGCACTGAAACGTAGCGTTCTGACCCACGTTGACCTCCACGTTCTGCAGACGCAGGAAGTGAGGAGCTTTACCTGCAGCACAGAAAACACTCCGTTAACATTCACGTACGATGTTCTGTACAAATAAAGCAGATTCAAATGTAGTTTTTATGTGAACCAATTTAGTTGGGATGATATCTGCATGATCTCAGAACAGATTTAGAACCATTGCTTTTGCTTTTTAACCTTTAAATCTGCTGGCGATGCTGACTGCAGCTTTTTTTATGGTCTCATTCTGATTTATGGCACGACAACACAACTTTTAAAAAATTAAATTCATTCCGTGTGAAAAGGTCTTCAAGTTTTCTGAGCTAATATTCATCTTGTCTTCAAGCTGTGAAGGAGTCCATGTTGTCACTGAAGACGTGGTGGATCCACGCTGACCCTCAAACCCTAAAACCTTAAAACCCTCAAACCTTAAAACCCTAAAACCTTAAAACCCTCAAACCTTAAAACCTTAAAACCCTCAAACCTTAAAACCCTAAAACCCTCAAACCCTAAAACCCTCAAACCCTAAAACCTTAAAACCCTAAAACCCTCAAACCCTAAAACCCTCAAACCCTAAAACTTTAAAACCCTCAAACCTTAAAACCCTAAAACCCTCAAACCCCTCAAACCCTCAAACCCTCAAACCCACGACCCAACAACAGGGATCCAGTTCCTTCAGGTCTGGATGACTTTGGTCTGCAGACTAACAGAAGTCAAACGCAGAAGGCGTCCTTCTCTCCTCATGCTAACTCCCTCTGATGCTAACGGTCACATTGTTACAAACCTCGGGAACTTATAGATATAAAGTTTCTTTGTTGGTACATTCTTCTTCTTCCTCCTTGTCTCTAAACATGATCTCACATTAGTGTTTTATACTTTATACTCCACTCTCACTTTGAGTAATCTGATTACTGATTGGCACAGCTTGGTGTCAGCTGATCAGAGAACAGTAAAAAAAAAAGAGAAGAGATTGATGGAAAGACAGAAACACGAAAAGAAGACGAGAAGATTGACACAAACGATCTGAAACAAAGTGTTGAAGGAAACATGAGAAGAAGCAGACGGAGAATCTGAGACGAGTTTAAAGAAGTGAAGGAAGACTTGATGTTCTAATGAGGACAGACGGAGAGAATGTGAGCGAGTTACAGAGCAGAGAGGTAAGTAGGACACACACACACATACACAGAGACACAGACACACACACACACACAGAGAGATAGACACACACATACACAGAGGCACAGACACACACACACAGACACAAACACACACACACGGACACACAGACACACAAACAGAGATAGACACACATACACACACAGAGGCACAGTCACACACAGAGGCACAGACACACACACACAAACAGACACAGACACACAAACAGACACACACTCACACACTGGAGTGATGAAGACTCTTCTTCATCCTGGCTCTGTGCACTCTGTCTGCAGGCCTCACACAATCTGTCCTGTGTGTGTGTGTGTGTGTGTGTGTGTGTGTGTGTGTGTGTGTGTGTCTGTAGCTATAAACAGATGATGCTCAGCATAGAGGGCCAACATCACAACACTTACGGCACGGATGAGCCAGAACTCGAATGTCGTCGACGGCGATGAAACCTGGATGACCTTGAACTGAAACTGCTTCGAATATTACCTGAGAGGGGAAGGAAGCAAGGAAGGGAGGAAGGAAGGGAGTGGAGGAGGAAGGAATGAAGAGAGGAAGGAAGGGAGGAAGGAAGGGAGGGAGGAAGGGAGTGGAGGGAGGGAGGAAGGAAGGAATGAAGGAAGGGAGGAAGGGAGGGAGGAAGGAAGGGAGGGAGGGAGGGAGGGAGGAAGAGAGGACAGAAGGAAGGAAGCAAAGGAGGAAGGAAGGAAGGGAGGGACACAGAAGAAAAGAATCAGTCTCTCTTTTCTCTAAAAGTACTGAAACTAAAATAAAAACATCTTGACGCCCCTGTGAAGCTCATATGGAAACCCCAGGGGAATTTATCCAGTGACAGTCAGCAACTCTTCTCTCTTCATCCTTCTGTCTCCATCCTTATGCCACATATGCTGCTCCTCCTCCTCCTCCCTCCCTCTCCTCTCCTTTTACATCGTTTCCTCTCTTCTTCCTCTCTCCGTTCTTCTCATTTCCTTCTTTATAATTGTTGTTTTGTCTCTCTCCTCCGTCACATCACTCTTTGGTTTCACTGAGAGTGACAGGCAGGGAAGAGGTCATGCACTCTTGACCCACACCCCCCCCCCCCCCACACACACACACACAGACACCCCCCCCCACACACACACACACAGTCACACACACACACACACACACACACACACACATACACACACACACACACACAGACACACACAGACACACACAGTCACACACACACACACACACACACACAGGATGCTCAACAGTAGAAGCTGGACTCAGGTTGAATATTAAAGCCTTCGCTCTCTTTCTTTGCTTCATGTCGGGTTGTAGACGCTACAGAAGCTTTCGTTTCTCTCTCCATGTGTTTTTGTGTGTTGAATAAATGTTGTGATCATATTTCATCACATGATAATCAGTTCACTGCAGCTCATAAAGATCATCTGTGAGCTCATTGTCCTCCATGTTTGTTTTTATTTGAAGTTTTGGCAGTAATTTGTCCAATGAATAAAAATCATGTTACAGTTCAGACTGTTGACATGGAAACGGACTAGAAGTGATTAAAACAACACATTTATGTGAAATGTGTTTTATCCTGTGAATGAACAATATGTTGGTTTGTTTGAATTATTAGTGTAAATAAACCGCATTGATTTGTCTCATAACTCAAATAAAATAATAAGTGTTATAACAACTAAAAGACAGAGCAGCTCTGTTATAGAAGATCGTTCATAATGTTAGAATGTTAAGAGTTTATGGGTTGTTTCTGTCCTTCATCCTCACACACACACACACACACTCACCTACACACACACACACACACGTGAAGAGTTCTGCTGGTCGTCTTTCTACCTAGTGATGAAACCACCTGAAGCTGTGACTCACTGCTACACACATGATCATTGATTAACGTGGATTACAGAGCACAGCACGGACATCTGTGATGAAGACTTTCATTATTGGACCTTTAACACAACAAGCATCAAAACAAACACCATCACCTCATACAGTACAGGACATATTTAACTTTAGGGGAAACAATTAACAAGTCACACAGCCTCAAGCAGGATGGTTAAACCATTAAATACATGACATCATAGATCTCACTGACATCATAGATCTCAATGACATTAACAGTTTAATATGTGGATCGTTCTCTTCTGCTGGATGATGATGGACTCTGTGTGTCTGTGTGTGTCTGTGTGTGTCTATCTGTCTGTGTGTGTGTGTGTGTGTGTCTGAGTGTGTCTGTGTGTGTCTGTGTGTGTGTGTCTGTCTGTGTCTGAGTGTGTGTGTGTGTGTGTCTGTGTCTGAGTGTGTCTGTCTGTGTCTGTCTGTGTGTCTGTCTGCGTCTGTCTGTGTGTCTGTCTGTGTGTGTGTCTCTGTGTCTGTCTCTGTGTCTGTCTGTGTCGTCTGTGTGTGTGTGTGTGTCTGTGTCTG